CGCATATTTGCAATATGTCGAAGAAAATGGATAGCGTCCAACACTGCTGGTATACGATGCGAGAGTGCAAGTAATGTGGCCTATTAATTTGTCTACCTACCCCGATGTGGGCTTGGTTACTGTAACTATACCTGACATGATTAGTCGGCCTGGACTACCTGGTTTAGGAATTTTCGGGAGTCTGTAGAAGCAAGCGACAAGGACGAGGGTATACTGTTCGCATCACTTTGTGCTTGCTCACTGCATGTTATTCTTCCTGCGTCTAACAGCTTCTTCAGTTCTGTTACGATATACGCACGTATTTGTCTGTCGGATCCCCTGGGTGAAGTTCGTAAAATTTTGAGTGATTCTGTTGACGGTATGCTTCTTATTCGTAGTTGGTCGTATTGAAGACTACGATAGCCCCTACTTTGTCAGCGGGTTTTATTATTACATCAGTCCTAGGCGTCAGGTCTTGTATACCTCCTTTTCTCAAATTTTGTTGAGTTTCCCGCTTTCCTTTAAAATCGAAGCATTTTTAACGAATTTCGGCGACTTTTACAGTATCTATCTATCTATCTATCTATCTATCTATCTATCTATCTATCTATCTATCTATCTATCTATCTATCTATCTATCTATCTATCTATCTATCTATCTATCTCTATCTATCTATCTATCTATCTATCTATCTATCTATCTATCTCTCTATCTATCTATCTATCTATCTATCTATCTATCTATCTATCTATCTATCTATCTATCTCATCTATCTATCTCTATCTGTTCTGTCTGTCTGTCTGTCTGTCTGCTGTCTGTCTGTCTTCTGTCTGTCTGTCTGGTCTGTCTGTCTGTCTGTCTGTCTGTCTGTCTGTCTGTCTACGACTTCTAGCTCTTTGGCCGTTGGATATGGTATCGATACCAGACTTGGTATGTATAACGCCACTGTATGCGAACAAAACTGACTAGTCATAACATGAAAATCATGACATGTATGTCATAAATGTCATGATTGACATGTCATTGTCTTGCTGCTCTTGCAGTGGTTTCATTCACATGAAGCGTCCATGTAGATGTCACGTGGATCGGCCACACGTGACCACGATGGAAAGTTCCAATATTGCGCTCTTTAAGATATGCAAACCACGCATGTACGTGTGAATACTTTTCTTGCCCTGTGGTAATGTTCGTATTCAGCTGCTAGCAATGTTGCTATGAATTACATACGACCGAGGTCATCGCAGCTGTCATCGCTCGTTTGATTTCTGCAGAGCCTCTGCCGATGAAACTTCGCGCACTGCCGCAGTCTTTCTGGCAGCAACCGAACGAGACGAGCGGAGTGTCACCGGGCATCGTGATGCCAGTCCTGCCGCCGTTGTTCAAGCACGACACGCAAGAAGACCTCACATGTGAGTCTGCACGTTATCGCAGATAGTTCGTTTCGTGTTTGGTCACCTGTTCTATAATGCCTGATTTCCTGCAGAATTGTTGTACAAGTTCAATAACGTAGCTTGCTGGGCGAGTTGGTTCCTGAGGTTTAAAAGAGGAAATCAGTGATTGTAAAACGAAAACGGTGTTGAAGAATAGACAGTACAAGCGCGCAGACACAACGATCAGTGTTTGTCCTGTCTTACTGCAAAACACTTGCAAGAACAAGTATACAGCAGGAAGGACACAACGCAGTTACCATGTCCCACCAACAAAGGTGGACATCAGTATTCGACCTGCCTGGTTGCTCTGCATCACAGTCTTCGTTTTGCATTTGTTAATTGCCTCTTTCTATCATAAAAATGAAATGAGAAAAAAATTTTTCAAGTCTAACCGGACTGTTTAGCGACATTTCGGGAATTTCGAAAAAAAGTTAAGCGTTTCTTTTAAGGGAGAAAAATGGTAAGACCTGTGGAAGCGTCAGACTTGTCGAAGCGCTCTGCACCACAAATGGTCGACCGTCCACGTATATGATATGGAATGGAAAAATTTTATTTGGGTGTGTCACAGCGTCAACTAGCACCCAGCGGTGCACTCCCACGTCGGGACAGATAAGCCTAGCCTCTTCGCCACATCGTGGGCCCATTGGACTGCCCATAGTTGCGTCCTTAGATCCGTACTGCGCAGCGCGGCATCCCACTTGGACGATGTAACGTCTTCAACTCGTAACGCAGAACGCCGTTAGAGTCTGCTTCTATAAGCACTAAAGCGGCGCGAAATACCAAATACAAAAAAAAGAGGACACGTGCGACAGTGCTGTTGTCTGTGCCTCTCTTATATCGATATTCTGTTTTTTGCGCTGTATTACGTTCTAGTAAATTTGACCAACTCACCCTCGCATCTACTTTATCTGCAACTAAAAGATCTTAAGGCTGAACAGAAATGCAATTTCCAAGACATTGACGCACAACAAAATTGAATAATGTAGAAAGTGGAGTGAGATTGTACGTTTCACATCTCTCTTTATGCTTCCTGTTGAAAATTCAGTTAACAGAGTCCTGAGCATGGTTCACAATGGTCACAGATGCATAGGCACGCACAACCAATCTTCGATAAATGATGTCACGCATGGGTGTTCGCTGCCGTTGAACCTCGCTATATAGCAAATTTTCGGTCATTGCAAACTCGATATGAACTTTGCTTGATTGCACTTTATTTTAGTAACATTTATTCTTGTTATAACGAAAGCGAAAACGCGAGAGTCGCAACAATATTTGTTGTAACGAAGAGACAGTCCGTTTAGCGACGTTCAATGCTTGAAAAGCGAAGTAAATATTCAAAGCCAATTCACAACCCCAACCATAGACTCGTTTTCTCAAACGAACTTTGTTTTGTTGTGATTCCGGCTTATTAAGTTGCGGTCTGTTTATTTTGAATCAACGCAAGGTGACAGGTAAGGATTATACCTCATTTATAATGAATTCTAAGCCATGAATCACGCACTTCTCTGCGAGCCAAATCGGCATTTTTCTACTGTTATGGTGAATATCGGATCTAACAAATTGACTTATGGCCCCGATGTTATTTTGATATGAGGTCGTTCCACGGTACTATTGAATATTGTGTTCGTATCGGTAACTGTATCTTAATCATCCATGCATCTGTGACCTCCATCACATCCCGGGAATTTGTTTCCATACACATTTGAATGTACACTTAAGTTAAACGGAGACTTCTTTTAAATTGATAAACTACACTCTGAGAACTCCAATGTTACAAGTTTCACCATCATGAGTTCATTATTAGCAGAGAAAGTCGAGGTTGAGTTTTCACTTTTAAACTTCGCGCCGATGCCTCCGCGCGCGATGTCTCTGATTTCAAATTGTATTTTTCGTACTTTCGCGGCATTAGCTCGATCAAGTTTTCTGAAACTTCTTAGGCTAGGTTTATGTCAGCCACAGATGACAATGTACTTCATTTTTACCAATTTTACGCTACATAGGTCCCAGTACACACGGCCAAAATCTATGACGTCATGGTGATTGGTGCGGAAATCTGGAGGTGACATCTTCTCCCGCGTCTTATTTTCGCGCGTTTTCCAGCTTACCAAGCGTCGTCCCGTGGTAAGAGTGGCGTTTTCAGGATTGCGAAATTGTACTTTACTTACATGTGGAAAATTGTTTTTTTATTGCCCTTTTAACGCACTGGTATAGAGAATTGGGAACGCAGTAGTTTGGCTTTCGCGCAGCGGTACGACCTCTGACTCCTCCCGAGGGGTCTCTAGAGCGTAGGCCCCGGTCCCCGGAGCGAGTGGTCCGAGTGAAGAACACCGAGCTGCTCATGCGGCTCTTCGACGAGGTCGACCCAGAGAGGAGACCCATGGCTCCCGTGGTCAAGAGGGGAAGGTGAGTACGGTCAATACAGGCGCACGCTACAGGTTAATAGCTTAAGATGTTTGTGCAACGAAAACATCGGTACCGCGAACTCGGTAACGGATGTGGACTCGCGAGTATGTTCATTGTGTCTCAAAGACTCAGAGGCTCAGAGAATTCGCCTTATAATCGGCCAATGCCCTCCTTTGGGTACGAGCCATCTGCACAGGGAAACAACAACAACAACAACGACTTGCGTCCGCCTTTGCGTGGAACTATGACACGGTTGTTCTAACTGCGAACTATTCTTAGTTTTATAAAAAAACATCTCATAATAGGCTCTCTTATCACGCTTCTTTTTTCACTTTATTTACACCATTCGTAGGTCCAAAGGAATGTTATTGAATGTCTAACTGATCATGTAGCGCGAAATTTTGTGCAACGTGATCAGTTATGAATTACTAACATGCCCAAACTTATGCTCTTGCGGTGGATAACCCGATGTCCTGTCTCGATCCCTCTTAAAGTTTGCCTGCAGCAGCGTAGTGAGCAATAGTATAGCGTAAGTCAGTATAGTAAGTAATAAAATTGCAAGTTCATCCTCCCAGTTGTTACTCTATCGCGAGAACACTTAGTGAAGTAAATGAATTGTTTTATCATACTACAGTTATCCTTGTCATGATCATCACTCTCCGTCTCAAAGGTTGTGCTACCAAGACGAGCCTCTACAGCATTTCCCACCCATCGAAATGCAAGCGCCACGGCCGGGATAGAACCCGTGAGCCGCTGGTCAGCAGCTGCGCACTGTAACTTGTACTACCGATGCAAACCTTATGGCGGTGCGACCTTCGTACGTGGAAATTGCGCAGCACCGTTAAGCTGTCAGAGAGACGATTTTGCATCTTCTACATATATGAGCAGTATGAACACGGATAAAACTAGCAACCATTTATTGTACAAATTCAATTGTATATATATATAGGCCAAGCGTATGTATCGTGCAAGTGCAACGAAGCCGTCTACTCTTCTCTTCCTCTGTTTCTGTCCCTGTCCCTATCTCTGTCTCTGTCTCTGTCTCGGTCTCTGTCTCGGTCTCGGTCTTGGTCCCTGTCTCTGTCCCAGTCCCTCTCTCGCTCGGAGCGTGACCTCAAGGTTGGTCGCTTCTGATCCCTGACCAACCTTCCTCGCTGTAACCTGAACTGTGCTTGCGGCTGCGCCAGTCATCTGCGGACATCGGCACCCTGCGAACATGCCTGACGGGAACGCGCGTCATGGCGGCCTGCTTTCTGCGGAAGGCCCTCATCTGCTGACGTCAAATCGGCTGAGCGCTCGTCTTCGAGTTCGGACACCGTCTCGCTGCCCGGATATCTCTTGGCCTTGCCCCACGTTATCCTACGGGGCTGCTGCGTTCCGGGCGAAGAGCTGCCACTCGCCGCCGGAGAGCGGTCGTGGCTTATTGCGCTCGACGCGCTGGGTTCATCCTCGTAGCGTTCAGTACCGCCTGGGTTGGCTCTCCCGTCCGTGGACGTGGACGCGTAGGACGAGTCCTGTAGGTGCGAGTCAGGCGTCATGGAATACGTCGACGCGTCGGGGTAGGCCACAATGCACCCGGTCGCCTCATTCCCGCCGTATCCCTGCGTGGCCGACGGGGACTGAGAGTCCATTTCGCTCGAACGAGGAGTGTCTGTGTTGTCGGGATTGCGCAGTAGCAACTCTAGCTGGCCCTGTATCGGAACGGGTGCTGGTGGCTCAGAAGACTGTGCCAAGCACGTCGTGGAAGAAGGGGTCTCGTTCGCGGGGCGTGCCTCTGTCAATTCTGCTCCATCGACGGATTCCTCGCTGAGGGGGTCTTCGCCGCTGCTGCAGCTGTTCCTGCGATAGCGTGCACCGGTCTTGAAAGTGTGATCGGCGGGATTTTGAGAATTATCTCTCAATTCGGTCGCTGGCACCACAATCGAAGAAGAGTCGTCGACGTTGGTGACGCTGCTGTCGTCCTCAAGGCTCCTCACGGAGGTTTCGGCACTGCCCTGCAAATGGCCAGAGGCAAGGGGCCGGGCTGGTTTCGGTGACTCGTCGATCCTACTGCTGCCTTCGCTGCAGCCGCCGATGCTGGACGCATCGTCGTTCCCGGAAGGCCGTGATGGAACGATCTTGCCTCCGCGCTGCGCTCGCGCTGCCGTCGCCCTGGCGCACTTTTGGGACAGACGCGACGCGCAGAGAGCAACGCAATCCGAGGAAGAACTGCGCGCGAAGATGACTGGCTCACCCGTGACTTCTCCTGTCATTTGGCCAACGATGGAACGATGCAGCTAATTTGGCTGGGCATAGCACAAGGTGAAACTGCTGAGGTGGCGGCTTGCCTGCCTGCGCGCCGATAGAATGTCGATGATCGAATCAGCCGGCTGTGCACCCGTGGCGCGCGGTTGACAGCGACATCATTTCCGAGGCCGAAGAAGACGAGAGAAGGCAGCGCCTCTGGCCATTAATTTTGTTCCCGGCGTTGGTTCCTGCCAGCTGCCAATATGGACGTTGATGTTGCTGGCGATGGGGCTCGCACAGTTGAACATTTAGCCTACGACGGTTCAAACATTCCCACGACCAGATCGAAAATGTGTGATTAACTGAATTCGTTACGATGACATAGTTGACATGGCGTGATAAATAGTTACGCCTATGTAATCACGAATGCTACCTTTGTCGCTTTCGTTCATAGAATTGTGCATCTATTAGAGAAATGAAACAACCCACATGTGCAAAATTTTTGAGCAAATATTGGCAACTCGCAAAAACAATGTATAAATTAAAGTCACCTTGCCAATGCAGATTAAAGAGGAACTAGATGCTGCACCTAGAAAGCTTACGAATCATGGGCAAGCATTATCTTATGGAAGACCGTACAGACATTACTAACACCAATCATCATCGTTGCATCAAAGTAGCTGAAATTAATGTGAAAGCGAATGACCGACTTGGGATGAAGCTAGCAAAATAGAGTTCGATATGTCGTTAAAGGCCAACTTCGGCAATTTTTCGACCATGTCAGGGTAATGGTGTGTTTTTTAATGTTTCTTGGCGCACTCTGGTCATGTACCGATAGCTGAAATGCTCAACTAATTTGAAAATAATTCATAATTGATGAAAACCACAATACCGAAACAAAAACACAAACGAGTGCGCTTTTACGTATGACGTAATACTTTCCTCGAACCTACCTGGTTGCGCATAACGCCGTCAGATAGCACTGCTTGTCCAGGTCGTCCAAGTTTGTGACTGCGGCGATCAGCTAAAATGCTTTTGCTGTTATGGTGAATATATGGCGAATCGTGTGCGGCCTATAACGCAACATCACTTGCCACCAATCACACGCTCACCAATCCGGAGAAGTAAATTGTACGCTCAACCAAGAAAGCGCCGGCCAAACCCACAATATCCGTAACAGGCAAGCAGGCTGCTGTGGCACATCAATTCATTCACTCGCATCGCTCGCAAAATTCAACGTCACCCACATAATGTCGTAAATAATTCTGGCAAGTGGAGTGGCGTTTCAAGGCAAGCTATAAAATTCATTTGCAAAGAATCAGCGAAGCTTTCATGCCTTCAATCCGGCATGACCGGCGCAAACGTGCAAATGAACTTCAACGCGCAGAGAATTTCATTGAGATTCATTTACCTCGAAAAATCGCCGACGCTGGATTTTAAGCTTGATCTATATGTTTAGTATATGAATGCGCTAAATATAAACTGTGTAAATTTATATAAGCGCGAAAAAATTGCTTGTGTATTTATAGCAAATAATAGTCACAGTAAAAAGCATGAAGTAGCTGTCTCGCACTTCATCGGAAGCTTCCATGACCCAAAGAACACTTATGCTTTCCCATAAAATTAAAGGGTGTTTTAAATGAAGTGATGTCCCCTCACCCTTCGAATTTCCGGTACCAACTAGCCGCTGAGTCATATCTTGCAATCGCCGAACCGAGACTTGTCAAAGAGCTTATTAAGAAGCATTAGACTTGGCACCTTGTACACTGGTTAGACGAAGGCCTTAGTGTGGCAACGTTATTGAAACGAAGTGTGGGATTGGGCTAGTTGGTAATCCATTATTAAACTTCTCAGCGCAAAAAACTTCTGACAACGAACACAAAATACCAGTGTTCTTTGTCGGAAGTTCTTCGCGCTGAGAAGTTCTTTGTGTGTGGGGCTTAACGTTCCGAAACCACCATATGATTATGAGAGACGCCGTAGTGGAGGGCTCCGGAAATTTCGACCACCTGGGGTTCTTTAACGTGCATCCAAATCTGAGCACATGTGCCTACATTTCCGCCTCCATCGGAAATGCAGCCGCCGCAGCCGGCATTCGATTCCGCGACCTGAAGGTCAGCAGCCGAGTACCTTAGCCACTAGACCAGCACGGCAGGGCTGAGAAGTTCTTGAAACATCTGATGTGGCACCATGACGTTCAAGTCAGTATGTTTTTTACTGATAAAAACTTCCGTTTATTTGAGGTTAGTTGGATTTAAGAATTTAAAGTAATTCGATTTAACTCCGGGATAATTACTGCAGCTAATTTTGACAGCGCAAGAGACTCATTCCGGTTTGGCGAGTTTGCTGCAGTAATTGGGCTCAGAACGAGTGCTTAAGCGTTCCGAACAATAACAAGGAACTTGATTCTTTAATAGTGTATCTTTTGCAACGTCAATAACTTGAAACGGTGAGGAGGGGGCCGGCACACATGTGATAACTCACATCATTAGAACTCACACGTGATTTCTTAGAGAAACTGCATATGTCATGGTCAGGCGCATTTTAAGGATAACCAAGTCACTACAGAAAGAGCTTTGAAGCAATGCATATAGTGTCCCACAATTTGTGCGTGTAAGCCCGCTTTCGTGGGCAACATCGCGTCTCAATCACCGCCAGCGGGTACGATACACATCTCTGTATCCGAAACCGCACACTGCTGGCTGGCTGCTTCGGCTACGGGTTCCTGTACCGCGACAGCGTCAACAGCGACCGCATCTGCTGCAGTATTATCTATGGCATCAGGGATTTGCGCAACAGGAGTTTCGGGACCGGCAGCACGGATGCATGCATCGTCTGGGGCGACTGCGTTCTCCGGAACTTCCATTAACGGGGGAAGTGGCTGGTTCTCCTTTGGCACCACCACCGCGACCGCTGCCTTTTTTTCTTTCCGCCGCTGTTGTTTGCTGCTTCCCTTTGAACCGCTCGGCGACCCTTTGCCGCTGGGTTGGCGAGAGGCGGTCGATTGCACTTTGGCAGGTCGTTTTGCAGCGCCCTTCACCTGCGGCCGCGTTGGCGCCTGGGTCGTCTTCTGTGACGAGCTCACGATGCCCAAAATGCTCCGAAGAAGCGATGTCCCTCCTTTGTTCTGCGGCTGTACTTCGGCAGGCTTCTTCTTCTTCTTGATTCTTTTGAGTGATCTCGTCTTGCTCGTTCCGGTGCCGTCGTCGTTAAGCTCCGAGAGAGTAACGCTTCCAGGGTACTCCTTGGCCTTTCCCCACGATATCTTGCGGTCCATGGCTACCACCAGCTCAGTGTCCACCATCTGACCGATGGAGTCTCTCCGGAGAGGCTGCTTCGACTGCGACTGCACTTTCGTGGAGGCTGCGGCGGCGTTGCTGCCGGGTTTGGGTGCAGCGTTGACCCGGCTACGATGGAAGGGCCACAGCGAGGTTCCTTGTGGCGGCTGTGGTTGCTGATTCTTGTTCTTGATGATCGGTACTTGCGCCACGGCTGTCTTTGCGTTCTTCTTTGGTCTCGAGACCGAGGCTGGACTGTCGGGTCGCGACTGGGCGGGATCGTCGCTGTCGGCGAAGCGAACCGTGAGGTCGCAGCTAGCCCTGTCGACTCCGGAGCGACAGGCGGACGGCGCGAACGTTGGGCGCAGGTCGGTCGGCATGTCTTCTCCGGTGGCTTCGATGACGTCCTCCAGAAGAATCATGCCTTGCTGATTGTCTTTTTTGGAGAAGCTCTCGGCGTCGAGGCAGGCCAGCACCTCGCCGAGCAAGTCTTGGACGTTTCGATAAAGCTCGTCGCGCTCAGAATGCTGTTCTGTCGTTCTTTCCTCCAGTGACGACGACGATGCAGTCGAGGATGAGGACAGCGACTGACGCTTTTGTAAGACGTCACCGGAAAGCGATCGCAGGGGTTTCTCTGATTCGATTGCCGCCGTATCCTTTGTGGCCGTCGAGTCGCCCCCGTGGCTCCTTGCGGATGCCGTGGCTTTTGCCGTGGTACTCTTGGCCTGCGATGGCGGCAGTGATGGTGAAGCAGGCGCCTTCTTGTCGCCCTCGCTTCTCTGACCACTGGGACTGATCGGCGGCTGAAGCTTCTTCGCTGACGCCGTTGCCATTTTTTGGCTGCTGGCCTTACCCGTGGTCACGTTGCTTCGAAGCATGTTGATCGCCAGATTTCGTAGGGCCCGTAGCGAAATAATAGGCAGGCGTGTCGAACAACGAGCATGCTAAATTTGAAGAACGCCAATGTATGTCGGTCCCGCCGAACGGGCGGCCATTTTGGCCTTGGTGATGCTGATGGAGATAGAGATGGTCACAATTTTTCGTGTCTCAGCGAGCTGGACTGCGTTCGTCTAGTTTGCTGCTTTTCATATTAGCCCTCTGCGACTACTAAGTATGATGGTATAATGTCTAAGTGCGATGCACTAGTCAGAACATGTACAGTTGAAGATAACGAAGCAAAGCTTGGGAGCCAGTGGCTTAGGATGCAAAATTGGCTAAAAACCAGAAAGTTTAATTAGATTGTTCATGGTGTAATATTTATCGCCTCAATAAAGGCAGTAGAGATGTAATAAAAGTCACTAAAACAAGAAAATATTAAATCTGATATTCCTGTGCATAAACAGTATTCTTGGCGTGGTCTTCTTCTTCTTTCAAATCATGAGCGAACCCTATCAGTTGTCAACGTGGTTTTTGGTTGCACGAATGGTGAAGTGCGCTGTGTCACAGAAGTTACAGCTTCATACAGAACTCTTCTGTTTCCGCTTGAGAGTTGCATCTCAACTGACGTTCTCTATCTTTTTTTTTTGCACCTTTGCAGTGCACTTTTTCGTGGTGGTTGAAGACGCCTCGTCAGAAGAGAGCTGGGAATATTTATGGTATTCATGCCTAAGCTGCATTCCACAACAGCGTTCTTAAAGACGGTCCACAATGATCAAGCTCTTTCATATTGGGGGATGTATTCTGGTCATTCAATAAAACAAGATATTCCGTTGGTAGTTCAAGAATGGTGGAGTAACATCTTAAAGCAT